TTGTGAAAACATAATTTAAAAATTTTACAAATATTTTGGTGACCTTATCGTTCTTCTCTGCCCTCTCACTGAGTAGACATTTGGCCCTCTTTTATATGATTATAGCTGATTGACTGTTGGAAGGTGTAGACATCTGACCCAAAGTGAGCATGTTCATAAGCTGGCCACCACCTAGGACAGTGATGGCGAACCTTTTGAGCTCGGCGTGTCAGCATTTTGAAAAACCCTAACTTAACTCTGGTGCCATGACACATATAGAAATTTTTTGATATTTGAAACCATAGTAAAACAAAGATTTATATTTTTGATATTTATTTTATATATTTAAATGCCATTTAACAAAGAAAAATCAACCCAAAAAATGAGTTCGCATGTCACCTCTGACACGTGTGTCATAGGTTCGCCATCGCTGACCTAGGACATGAGTAGCTTGAGTTCAAAAAAATCACAGGATCAACCATATTCTTCTTTAAGAGAATTGAACTAAGGCACAAGGAGGGAGCTGAAGTATATCAACAACAGCAGTGCATTCTATAAGCCTATTCACTTCTGATATTGAGTTAACATGAAATGTCCCTTACCACTGTTTACATTAAACTCCTTTGGAAACTAGTGTGAAGAGTCTTTGGAAAACATAAGTAAAGACAAAAAATACCAGGCAAATATATGCATATCTTCATTCAAAATTTGAGTTTTAGAGTTTTAACTTTTAAACTTATGTTTGTGTGTGCACACAAAATATATAAGTTCAAGAAGTAAATTAAATAAATGTTTATTAGGATTCCTTTGAATGGTTTTATAGTTAGTAACTTCCTTCTCTAATTTGGTATCTGATTAAAAAATGATTAGTGTATTTTTATATGTATTTTTTAAGATGTATTCTTGTTATAGTTTTATATTTTATATGTATCCTTTTGATCTGGCTGGAACTTAATAGATGTTATATAAAGCTCTATTTTTACCCAAAGTAAATCATTCATATAATTCATCCCCACTGAGTGATTTATGATACATTGCTTATTATTATATCAGGTTACATAACCTAATATATGTAACAACATATGTTTCTGGATTTCACTTTTGCCCAATGGAGTTACATGTCTTTTCTGATATCAGCAGTAGATAATTTTTATTTTTGTAGTATATCAGTTTGGATTGTATTAGACTGTAATAAAAATCCCCACTACTAAGAAGGCATTATCTATTTTATTATTTTAATAAGATGTCAAGGTATTGGTAGCCTAGTGGTGACTCAACTGCTCAAGATATCATCAGGAACTCAGAATTCTCTCTTCTTGCTTCCTCAGACTTAACAATAGCTACTGCGACTCCAGCCACTACACACTCAGCTGCATGAAGAAGGAAAAGGGCAAAGAGGGCTGCTGAAAGTGATGAGGGAGGCAGCAGGGCGAACTTTTTTGGGGATGGGAGCGGGAGTTTCCTCTTGATGAGGAGCTTCAAAGGACAGCAGCCTACCTCTGCTACCCTCTGTCTCCAGAGGCACAATTTCTGATTGGCATCTGGCAGGACAGAGCAGTTGCAGGTACAGGACTGGGAGCACCTTTCTGCATGCAACTCCCTGGAGAGTCTCTTCTGGCCAAGGAAAGCTTTGTTTTAACCATTTCTCCCAGAGCCAGGGTTGCTGGGTGTTCTGGGGCAGGAGGGCAGAATGGAGGTGGGGCAGGGCAGGAAGAAGTATGGGGTAGAAGACTGGGGGATGGGGAGAGAGAGGGTGAAATATGTGTGTGGTGGCGGGGAGGGCTGGTGCAGAAGGAGAGCTGGGGTCAGCATAGGAAGGTTTGGAGGTACTTGGGGAGTAAGAGGTACCAGCAGATGCCAGAACAAGGGAAAGGGTCTAGGGCAGCTGTTCTCAACCTGTGGGTCGCGACCCCTTTGGCGGTCGAATGGCCCTTTCACAGGGGTTGCCTAAGACCATCCTGCATATCAGATATTTACATTACGATTCATAACAATAGCAACATTACAGTTAAGAAGTAGCAACGAAAATAATTTTATGGTTGGGTCACAACATGAGGAACTGTATTTAAAGTGCCAGAAGGTTGAGAACCTCTGGTCTAGGGAATCAGGTGGGGGTCGTGAGGGTGAGTATGGACTAAGTCCCTTCCCCAGGCCTTGCCATCCTAGATGGCTAGTGGGAGGGGTCCGTAGTGAGGTGCTGAGCCCCCTACACATTGTGTCTGAAGCTCCAGAACATGTGGCCAACATGCCCTGCCCCTGCCACCCCTGCCAAAGTGCTGCAATTTGGAGTGCGTTTGCAGACACATGGATTGTTTTTAATCCATGTTTTTAAGTTAATGCTTTTTAATTCGCTCTGTTTCCCACTTGTCGTTTTTTATTGAAAAGGCGGATTCTGCTGGTGTGTGTTCCTTTGCGGGGGCAGCAGGGGTATTCTCCATGGGCAGAGATCTGATGAGAGACAGAGACAAAAGACCCAGCAAGACATGGGGAATGAACAAACAGGATCAGAGAGCAAGGAACAGGGAGAGAGATGCACAGGGCAAGACAGACACATGACACAGGGTGCTGTGGACAGGGATAGAGCTTTCTGGACCCATGAGAGGGCTCATTCCATGGAGCAGTAGCTCTGTGGGCACGTTCACCCCGGGTGCAGCTCCCAGACCCGGAGTCCATGAACTGAAAGCCTGGGATAATTAGAGCTAATTAAATGTGTGCAAACAGCCACAGTGGAGGCCGAGGGCTGGCCACCCCTCCCCTGGCCTGCCCGCTGCGATCCTGCCCCAGCAAAGAGGCTTTGCTGGCACAGCTGGGGTTAGGAATCGGACCACAACTTGTTCTGAGCTCCCTTTGGCCTTGTGCTGAGCGGGCCCTGGTGGCATGGGCCCCAAAATTTGGGTCCTTAGGTTTCTATTATCTTGGCCTCCTGAGCATTCCCAATTCTGCGAAGATTCGAGACAGGGTTCTTGTATCCTACCATGGGGAGTGCCTGTCTGGAGCTGAGGCCCCAGGATGAGGAAGGGGCAGAGTCTGGTGCTTGGCTTTTGGTGATTAGTTTGTCTCTCTGCCTGAATGCACCACAGGACCCCAAAAGAGTGACTTTTCTGAGCTTTCATTTGTGCGTCCACACCGTGCATGCTTCCTCTGAGCCGTGGAGTCCAAGGGGAAGGAGAAAGGTGCGAATTACTCACGTGTGAATGAGGCTTTACACTTTGAACTGCTGGCCTGAATCAGTTATCTAATTTTGTTGTTCCAGGAGACTTTGGCAGGTTGGGTTGGAGTGGTGGCAGGGTAGGGTTTCATCTATAACTAGTGGCTCAGTGCACAATATTCATGTGGGGGGGGTGTGTCCCTCAGCCCAGCCTGCACCCTCTCACAATCCAGGACCTTTCGGGGGATGTCCGACTACCGATTTAGGCTGGATCCCATAGACATCCCTCTCACAATCTGGAGCTGCTGGCTCCTAACCACTCACCTGCCTGCCTGATTTTGCCCCTAAAACTCAAGCTTCTTATTTTTTTAATTTTTTACATTTATATTTACTTATTTTTTATTTTAAAATTCATGTTTCTTGAGAACATGAAGCATTTAACATTATTCCATATTCCTTACAGAGAGCTAAGCATGGTAAACAGCAAATACTTAATACTTATGGGCTTCTATACAAACACTTTCCAACCAGGAATGTTTTTGTTTTGTTTTTTAATATATTTTATTGATTTTTTACAGAGATGAAGGGAGAGAGACAGAGAGCTGGACACATTGATGAGAGAGAAACGTCGACCAGCTGCCTCCTGCACATCTCCCACTGGGGACGTGCCCGCAAACCAGGCACATGCCCCTGACCAGAATCGAACCCGGGACCTTTCAGTCCGCAGGCCAACGCTCTATCCACTGAGCCAAACCAGTTTCGGCCCAACCAGGAATGTTTTAATAGGCAGTCTCTAAAAACTTGAACTGGAAAACCTAAAAGTAGAGTGCTCAGATTTCAGACATCAGGTGCTATTAGCAGGATTTCTATCCCAATTAAACTCTAATTCTGAGCTCTCAACAAACTGCCCTTCATTATCTCCAAAGTTTTGTGTGCATTATTTTGTTATTCCAAAATAGAGATTTATTTATTAAGAATTATTTAGTGTTTGCATAAAAATCACCAATTGTTCCTCATTGGGTTTTTAACACACATGAATTCTTTGGGGTCCCTCTATTGTCCCCAAAATACATCTCTTGTTAGTGCCAGGGGGGACAGTTAAGGCAGCGAGGTGTTTCCTTGGGTCTCGGCATTGGGAGGGCTCGTGGTCTCCCCTCTGAGAGAACACACATGATAGGTGGTTTCTTAGGTGGGGTAGGCTGTCCCTGAAGGAAACACTTATGCAGAAGAATGCAAATTCAGTCATGTGTGGTCAGTTACTCATACCTGATAGCTTTAAAATAAAGTCCTGTTGGCCAAGGTCATCAAAGGCCTGCGGGTTGTTTTCAACTATAAAAAACTGTCTGGAAAAAGACAGTAGGGAAGAGCGGGGTCTATGCTGACAGCGCTGTGACGCTGGGCTGTGCAATCACAGGAGAGCACACAGCAGTCTGCTTTTAAAAGAAATCCTGTATAATTTCAAATCAGACTCCTCGTGGTCCTTACACGGCCCGAAACATCACTGCAGCAGATCCTCATTTTTAAAATGAGGTGTATGACAGGGCTCCCCCAGGGCCACGCACCACATGGGGGAATGGGGACAGAAAACCCTAGGACTTGACTTATTAGCAACATTAACTGATTTTTATCACACTGAAATGAAGGCAGTCGGTCTGTGCTGTCATGAAATTAAAGGTGATTCAGAAGTAGGGTGGTTATTTATTGTTCTGTTAGGATAGACCCCAAAAATGACTTTTCAGAAACCAGGGCTGTCCCCTGCAACCCCAGCCAGATTCTGGGCCCCCTGTGGGGGGCGCAGGCCAAAGCGGCCTGCCAGCTTGCTTACAGTGATTCTGGCTCGTCTGTTTCTGGGAGTGCCGGCTGCTGGGCACGCCTACACCTTGTAGTTGAGCTCAGCGCTCATCTTGGTGTACATCTCGTAGATGACATCAGTGGTGGCCACATAGTTGACCAGGACCAGGCGGACCTTCTCCATGCACTCCTCCTCCGTCACGTTCTGGCCCTTGGCGAGCGGTTTCGGAAAGTCACACTTGTAGGGCGCGGCATACAGCGCTGCCTGGAAGGTCTTCTGCATGATCCAGCCGTGGTACTTCTTGAGCACCACCTCATAGGCCTTGGTGGCATTGAGGCAGATGAACTTGGGGTGGCTCTCGTCCTGTTCCCCATCACACATGCACTGCAGGAAGACCCAGATGAAGTGGAGGCCCCTTTTCAGCCACATCAGCACTAGCGTGGCTCCCACTTTGGGCCACTCTGCTCCATACATTCCCTTCTCCTCCTCCAGGATGTCCTGCAGGGTCCGGAACTTGGCCAGGTCGGTGTTGTACATAAGTTTGATTTTCATAATGTTACCATTTATGTCTGCCTTGATGGGCATAAACACCGGGGACCCAAGGCAATGGAAGAAGAGTGGCAGGTGGGACACCACCTCCAGGAAGGGCCCGGTCTCGATCTTGTTTGCGGGCAGCAGCTTCAGCAGGTGCTTGGCCAGCAGCGCCATTTCGGGGTCGAGGCCTTCCCCAGCACACTCCAAACCTACTCCAGATGGACCACCCCAACCCCGCAGACCCTTAACACCTTCCCCCTATTTCTTTGACTTTCCCCCATCAAACTCAGACCCTATCCTGTTGCCTAGGGGTGCCTCTAACCGCTCCTTGGAGGGTGGGGCCAACCCAGCGAGGGGCCGTGGTGATTCTGGTCTAACTGCTGGGGCTTGAGGAGCTGATGGAAGCTGTGGGGCGAGCCTGCGACCTACCCGCCCTGGTGTGAGCGGCGAGCAGCACGTTCCATCAATAGCTACCTGGCGCACAGGCATGGAGGTGAAGTCACTGGTGCCTGCTTTCCTGCAGGCCTGAGCCCAACGGCCTGGCAGCCAACCCAGTCCTCCTGCCATCCATCCGGATTCCCCTGTTCACCATCGTTGATCCATTGGAGCCTGCAGGCCTGGGGCAGGGACCAAGAGGTCAGCTGTTCAGCCCGCTTGCCAGTCCCCAGTACCTCCCCGCCCGCTGGCTGTTGTGGGGAGGAGGAGGGACCGAGAGGTGCTCAATGCACCTCATGGTGACCTGTCGTTTGGTCATCACAGTTGTCACAGACACTGGCTTTATATATATATATATATATATATATATATATATATATATATATAATCGATAGCTATATCTATATCTATATCTATATCTATCTATAACTATATCTATATCTATATCTATATCTATATCTATCTATATCTTTATCTATCTAACTATCTATCTATATATATATATATATATATATATATATATATATATATATATATATATAGTTACATTCATGGTACTGTTTTGTAACTGCCAATTTGTATTTCTTAATCCCCCTGACCTTTTCACCCAGCCCCACAACACCTCTCCTATTAGCAACCATCAGTTTTGTACTCTGTATCTATGAATTGTTTTTGTTTTTTTGTTTTGTTTGTTCATTTATTTTAATTTTTAGATTCCACATACAAGTGAAATCATATGGTATTTGTCTTTCTCTGTCTGACTTATTTCACTTAGCATTATACCCTCTAGCTCCATCCATAATTGTCGCAAGTTATATTTCACTTTTTAAGACCAAGTAATATTCTACTGTATATATGTTCCACTAATTTTTTACCCACTCATGTATTGATGGGCACAGGGATTACTTCCATATCTTGGCTGTTGTAAATAATACTGAAATGAACATAGGGGTGCATATATATTTTTTGAATTAGTGTTTTGGATTTCTTCAAATAAATACCCCAAAGTGGGATTGCTGGGTCAAATAGTAGTTCTATTTTTATTATTTAAAGAACCTCCATATTGTTTTCCCTAGTGGCTACACAAATTTGCAATCCCACCAAAAATGCACAAGGGTTCCCTTTACATCCTCAACAACGATTGTTGATTTATTAATGATAGCCATTCTGACATGTATGAGGTGATATCTCATTGTGGTTTTAATTTGCAATTCTCTGAAGATTAGTGATGTTGAGCATCTTTTCATAGCTCTATTGGTCATCTTATGCCCTCTTTGGAGAAGTGTCTATTTAGGTCCTCTTCCCATTTTTTATTTTTGCCCATTATTTAATTGAATTGGGTTTGTTTTGTTTGATTGTTGTTGTTTTTTGTCTTATGTTGTATAAGAGCTTTATAAATTTGAGCTATTAGCCCCTTATCAGATGTATCATTGGTGAATATGTTCTCCCATTAGATGGGTTGTCTTCTCATTTGTTGATTGCCGGGAGCTGGTCCATCCTTGCTGTTTCAAGGGACCTGGCATATATGGCATACTGTTCTTAATATGTTTGCTCACCTTCTTGGCACTATGTGTTTTAACCAAGGTCACCTCTCTGAGAAAGGTTGTTTCCCCAGGTAGGGATTTTCCCCTGAAGTTAGGGAGGGAATAAAACCCCTTAACTAAGTGCCAGGTGGGTAATTAATCACTTTAACTACGAACAATCATGCTTAAGCTACATAATCTTTACTCCCTGGAATGGAGATAAGAAATGCCCTAACCTTTGGAATAGAGATTGATAGGATTGGGATCAACTGGTATAAATACAGATGTAACAAGACAACAGGACACAGAACCTAGACACAGAACCTACACAGAACCTACACAGAACCTAGAGACAGAAGAACTTCGCTGGAGAGAACATGGCAAAAGATCCTGGACAGAAACTGACCACAGAACCTAGAGACAGAACCTGGCTACAGAACCTGGATAGAACATGGCAAGAGAACCTGACTAGAACCAGGTGACTGAACCTGGCTGGAGAACCTGGACAGAACCTAGAGACAGAACCTAGCAAGAGAACATGGACACAGAACCTGGCTGGAGATCCTGAACAGAACTTGGCTGGAGATCCTGGCTAGGCTGCTGATCAACTGAACGCTGCCTCTGTGTCGTTCCTTCTTCGCCGACTCCGTCCACACCTTTGGGGACCCCTGGAACTGCTGGGGTTGGACCCCAGCAGTTGATGGTTTCCTTTGCTATGCAAAAACTTTTTAGTTTGATGTAGTCCCATTTGTTTATTTTTTCTCTTGTTTTCCTTGCCCGAAGTGACATATCAGAAAAAATATTGCTATGCTTTATTCTAGGATTTTTAGGGTTTTGAGTCTTACATTTAAATCTTTAATTAATTTTGAGTTTATTCTTGTGTATGGTATAAGAAAGTGGTCTAGTTTCATTTTTTTTTTTGCATGTATCTGTCCAATTTACCCAAAACCATTTATTTATTTTTTTTAAAATATATTTTATTGATTTTTCACAGAGAGGAAGGGAGAGAGATAGAAAGTTAGAAACATCGATGAGAGAGAAACATCGATCAGCTGCCTCCTGCACATCTCCCACCGGGGATGTGCCCACAACCCAGGTACATGCCCCTGACCGGAATCGAACCTGGGACCTTTCAGTCCGCAGGCCGACGCTCTATCCACTGAGCCAAACCGGCTTCGGCCAAAACCATTTATTGAATAGACTGTTTACCCCACTGTGCTGGTGGCGGAGTGCACTCTGTCTAGGAGGGGGCTGTAGCACTCACCGGGCTGTGGTTCTGTATTGGGATCAGGGATGGAGTGGGAAGTGTGGTATTGGTGGCTTGCACTCACAGTGCGGGGACCTGAAGTGTAGGATCCTGAGACGTTGGGTTTGGGCTCCGGCTAGGAGACACAGCTCTGGAGGTCTGTCCGGTGCACACTCACTGCAGATGTCTGGGACTCACGTCGCAGTACCGCGCTGCTCACTGCTGGAGCATGGTGGTGATTCCAAGCATGTTATGGCTGGCAAGTGGCTCCCTGCACAGGTCCAGGGGTGCTGTTTGAGATCGGTCTGGGTGTTGGTGTGGCAGCGCTCCTGGCCTCTGTTGCTCCCCTCTACAAGATGGCATAGATTCTTTGCCAAAGCCTAGCTGGCCTGGGAGTGCCCACAGCGGTACAGTGGCTCCCCATCTAGAAGAGCCTGATCTGCCAGTCCCTGGGACTCCTGAGATATCTATCTGTCCTTCACTCACCCACACACATACCACACATGTCCCTCTCACTTATTTACTCTGTCACACTCTCTCCCTCCCTGCAGTCCTATTGGCCGCCATGTTGGATCTCCTCATGAGTCTTGTTAAAGGTTTGTCAATCTTGTTTATCTTTTCAGAGAACCAGCTTTTGGTTTTATTGGTCTTTTGTACTGTGTGGTGTGTGTTTTCCAGATGCTAATTTTTTTTCTGTTCTGATTTTATTATTTCTTTTCTTCTACTCACTTTGGATTTTCTTTATTGTTCTTTTTCTAGTAACTTTAAGTGTAAAGTTAGATTGTTCATTTTTCTTGTTTCTTGAGATAGGCCTGTATTGCTATAAATTTCCTAGAACCACTTTTGCTGTGTCCCATAGGTTTGGGTTGTGTGTTCATTTTCATTTGTCTCAAGGTATCTTTGGATTTCTGCTTTGATCGCATTGTTGACCCATTAATTCTCTGTTATTTAGACCCCAAGTGTTTGTGTGTTTTCAGGTTTTTTTCTTGTGATTGATTTCTCAGTTTCATACCATTGTGGTCAGAGAAGATGCTTAACAGGATTTCTGTCTCCTTAAATTTATTGAGACTTGTTTTGTGTCTTAACATGTGGTCTCTCCTAGAAAATGTTCCATGTGCACCTGAAAATAATGTATATTCTGCTGTGTTGGGGTGAAATGCTCTGAAAATATCAAATCTATCTGGACTAGTGTATCACTTATGTCTGTTGTTTCCTTGTGGATATATTGTCTGGAAGATTTATCCATTGATGTCAATGGGGTGTTAAAATCCCCTACTATGACTGTATTAATATTGATCTCTCCCATTATATCCATCAAGATTTGTTTGATATATTTTGGTGCTCCTATGTTGGGTGCATAAATACTTACAAGCATTATATGCTCTTTTTGTATTTCTCCTTTTATCATTATGTAGTGTCCTCCTTTTTCTAATATTATAGTTGTTTTAAAGTATATTTTGTCTGATATAAATATTCCTACCCCAGCTTTTCTTCATTCCACATGCATGAAATATTTATTTTTTACTTTTTGGTCTCTGTGTGTCTTTCATTCTGAGGTGTGTTTCTTGTAGACAGCATATATATGGTTTTGGTTTTTTTATCCATTCTGCTACTCTAAGTCTTTTGATGGTGTATTTAAGCCATTTACATTTAAAGTGATTATTGATAGGCACGTATTTTTTGCTATTTTAGTTTTTTAATATGTTCCTTTGTTGTTTCTCCTCCTCCTCCTCCTCCTCCTCCTCCTCCTCCTCCTCCTCCTCCTCCTCCTCCTCATTATTCTGCTTCTTCTTTCCTTTTTATTAAAGAAGATCCCCTAACATTTCTTGTAATACTGGTTTGGTGGTAATAAACTTCTTCAGATTTTCTTATCTGGAAAGCTCTTTTTTTTCCATTTTAAATGATAGCCTTGTTGGATAGAGTTATCCTTCTTTTTTATCACTTTGAATATTTCATGGCAATCTCTTCTG